CTTAAAGTTAACTGCAAGGTATCGCGGCTTCCTTTGACCCGCCCATCGTGATTGATGCGGTTAACTGGCTTTAACAAAAAGGAACTTTCACCATCGTACAAAATTATCATCGAAAAACAATAATATAGTGAGATTATTTATCTACTATATTTGCTTTGTCATCGAGTAGTCGTGTTTTAGAAATGGTCTCCACCTGTCTACAAAGCCTTTTATCAACTTAAATTACGAAAACGTTTCTAATTGCTTACAACCGGTGTCTAATGTTAATAATCTTGCTGGTCGTTAAACATCTTGCTAAAACTAGTAACGAAGAATTTCTTCACGCATTTCAACAAGAACGGGTTTTACTGAACTGCGGACGAATGTCGCTTGGTTTTCGTAATCACATTTAGAGATATTTTTTATCGTCACATATGATGGTTTCACATCCGACTGTTATCTTTGATCTTGGTACCTTCCACTTTTAAAACGTGGGTCATCTCTCAGATCATGGTTTCCACCCCCTCTCTTCCACGTCAGTTGCTTTATCAGTGGACGGTTGATTCAGACAACCAGTGGACAGATTCAGTCCGAGTTCAACGAACAATTTCCCATAAAATGAGCAAACCACCTGAAAAAACGGCAGAGCAAATATTTTATCATCTAATTTCGGGAGGGTTACGTGTCAATAGGTTTTTTGTTCGGGAAAAGGGACTTACATAAAATGCGACGTAACTTTTGCAGTGACATTTCAAAAGAGGTTTTTTCATACAAAAGAGGTTTTTTTCTAAAAGGGAGGAATGCTTAAGTAATATTTTTAAGGTTTTCTAAATTTAGTTTTTGTGGAAACTGAGCAAGAGAAGTTGGACGAACTAGATGGTCTGTGTGGTAGAAAACTAACAGTCAAGTAGTGGTCATGCAAAGCTGTTTTTATATGAATAACTGTGAGACTGGTTTGCGTAATAATTTTATATTATCATCGTGATTATGAACATGCGAGCCAATATTACTGTACTCACATAATACTTTATTTCTATATTTATTTATATTGGTAGAAGAATAGCAATAATTCACTTACTTTATTTGCTCTTCTTTAAAAACATCAAAGAATTTACAAGACTCAATCAGATGCAAATAACACGTCTTGTAAATTTCGTTAGATATCTACAGAAAAGAAAATGATGCAGACTATAAATAAAATTATAACTATCATAAATTTGGTATGTTGCGATGAATGTGAAACAGGTTTAAAATGTACATAGGTACATCTAAAAAGGTAATTTATTGTTTGTATTGTGTTTAAAATTTCACCGACAACTAATAAGGCTAAAGTATTTAGCTATAATTGCTCTAGGTGTAGTGTAGACGGACCGTTCGTTGTAAAAAATTCTACCTGAGTAGTTGAGTCACCGAGAAAGCTTTTGTCGTAATCCTTATATTCGGATGGCGTACCCGCCTATTTGAGACGTGGGATTTCTGATGTTTTGACCTCTAACGCAGGTAACTCGTGATACATTTTTATGAAAGCGATTCCTGTGTAATTTATTGTTGTTTCTTTGTATTTGTTCTGGACCTGTTGGTACGTGTTCAATAAGGATTTACGTGGTCGGAGACGGCAAGAGGCATCAGTGAAAAAATTGTCTTGTTTTTGGTAGTCTCTATTTTGTTCTCATGTATCCGGTTTTTTGTGAAATTCTAACACGAAGACACGGCCATTTAACAGATATCTTTGGCCCATAAATTCACTGCTTAAATAAGATTTTAAAGCAATACGGCGTTTTGTGTGGAATCGAAGCCAAGCAAGTTAAACCGAAACATCTTCGCATGCAATTTAGAGAGAAATCGTTGAACTGTAAATCCTGTTCAGCTAGCAATTGTTCCGCAAATTTTTAAGTTCGCCGTTCGAGTGCTTCGATCTCGAGTAAATGTAAACCAAAAACAACAGAAGCTCTGCTTGGAATGGCAGATTACTGATAATACGTCTGTGGTGTGCACTTACAAGGCCAACCGGTCCCATTAAACATACTTGAGGCATTCCTCCAAAAAAGATTTTTAATATCCTCGCTATCTTTAGATTAACGACCTTATTTTGAAATACTGGCTTAAAATCATCAAACATAAATATGTCGTCTTTTATCGTTGGGATTTTCCCCTACCACATTTTGTTTTCTAGGTATATTAAGTTGTAGTTGTTTCATTCGGAATGAATAACATTATTTTTGTAACAGGAGACAACATTGTTTTTTTAAATTTTATCACAAACAAAATGAAAAATATTATGACGAATAAACTATGAAGGATTTTCGAGGATTTGTTTATAGTGCACAACAAAATCCTAAGGGGACATCCAAAAATGAAATGGCGAGAGTGAATGAGCAACAAAACATACGTTGCTTGTAGAGTCCATTGAGCTATGGAGTGTTTGAATGGAGCTAACGAGACAGTCGTCGAATGATAGTCTCTGTTTTGTGAGGGGCGACAGAAAAGATCTTTTACATTTAGCACACCTTTTGTGTTTCATTTCATAGTGCTTTCCTTAGTTCTGCTGTGTTTTTAACCACATTAGCGGTGAAATGTGTAGAACCAGGTAATGTGTAGACGTGAGTAACGCTAATGCACTTGTTGCTTTTTTGTTAAATTAAAAATGAGGTTACTTTAACGGGTAATAAAGCTCAAATTTCATAGCATCCTCAAAAGATTATAGATCTGAACAAAAAATGATGGCGTAGGCTTCGATAAATCGATCGTAAAAAATTAAATTACCGTGCCATGAAGTAAATAAAGTAACAAAGTTACGTAATTAGAAGATGACTAAGAACTTGTCGATTTGCTTATTAATATTAATGATTAACTTCATACAAAACATGTATCGAGATACAGCATGAGTCACAACGACAGAATCCTTGTAATGATTTGAAATATTTTCGTGCCGACCTCATGTCTCGATTTTATTGTATTACCTCATGAGTGGAAACTAAAAGCCTTTGTTTTTACGACTGCAATTTAAACAAGTTTTGTAAGTCCATTAGTGACAGAAGCATTAAATCTAAAAACTTTGTTGAATACCACAAATGAAAATGAAACAAAGGACTGAGATGACTGCTGTAAAGTGCATTAACTCAATCTTGTTTAATTTTGGACAATGTTTTCATATTAGTAGACAGACAATTTTAAAAGTAACTCTTCATAACAAGTATGCTCACAGTACACTCTATAAAATAATTACCTTGCAAAGATGAATAAATAACAACACAGATAAAACCGTAATATCATATACTGTTATGTAAATAAAATATGTGATCCGTACATTATCCGCATCATTATAAAACCATGTCTGTAAAACTGCAAGCTTTATAATATGTATATTTTAAATTGTAAGGTACGATATTCCACGATCGTGCAACAAGTATGTATAAGAACATTCAGTAAATTATTCACCGGCTGGTTTCGAAATGAGTTACCCGTAGCTCTTGTGAGGCGATAAGTTCAAGGTATAAATGGTGGATGCACACCAATACATTTTGCAATACATACTTACATCATAAATTAACGAGCCATTGAATAAATGTTAGACAACCGTTGTAACTTGATTCTCATCGATACAGTGAAGAAATGACCTTAGTTGGAGTGTTCGTTAGAGGATGTTCCCATTGCTGTTACTTTTACTTCGAAAACCTTCATTTTCTCTTTCATGTTTACATAAAATTTACTGCGGCCTAACATCTTAATAAAGTGACAACTTCAGTAATATACAACTCGATTAATTACCGTATTTTCTCTTAAGCACAACTCGTAATCATTTTAATGAAAGGTACGTAAACCCCGGTTCCTATAGGCACTCATAATGTGAAAATTACTAATTAATAACAACAAAGCAAACTTCGTTATGAGAGAGATTCTAAAATAATGAGGAAAAGAGCTTAAAGTAGCCGGTCTGATTCTGATTCGAGTAAAACTGAGTTAAATTAATTATGATGACGCTCACTCCGTGAACCTCCACATTATATTAAACGTGCAATTAAATAAAATGTCTGGGAGAGCAAGGAGCATTTTTACTCAACGTTTTCGCAAGAAGTTTTGGTTTTGTTTGAGAAAAAACTTCTCGTAAATCTTGCATTTGTAGATAAACTGTGATTGAGAGGTGGTAGAAGTAATTGTCACATACATAATCCGGTAAGGGAGAGTTTATTAGACAGTTTCCAAACAACTTCTAAGATTCATCCAGAACTTTTCGTGTCAACTTAACACAAACAAACAGAACTTTGTTATTCACGAGATTAAAGTATCACTCTGTCTTAGTTCTCTCTTAAAGCTGAGTTGTGTGGAAACTTGCTGACTCGCACGGTCGGGCTCCACGCGCGACCTTGCTGCGCATGCATCCCTTCCGCTAACGTTCGCTGAATTCGATGAAACAAATATATACAATACGTGTTTTGTTCTCGCGCAAGGAACATTTGACACGTTTTGCTTGCTCGCTCGTTAATGTTTCAGTGGAGATATGAAAATTAGATCATTTTACTTTTTTAATTGTTACTCTGATGATGGCTGAATTAAAAAAAAGTGCAGACTTTTATAATCATAGTCATTTTGTTCAGAATTATCTGCAAAGCGGATATTAGCCGCAATATTTGATGATAATCTAAATATTGACCTTCAACTTGACTGTGTAAGCAGGTCCAATTTTTGTATGCTTGGTCCGCAGAAGAAAAACACGGGTTTGGAAACTGAATACACTTTTACAACGTGTTTTCTGTGTTCCGAAATGTCGGAGTGCGTGGGTGTGTGAATGGGAATGTGAGTCAACTGAGTTTATGTAGACTAACATATACATATTATACCAGCATAATTGCTTTTAGTCTACGGCTAAAAGTGTTTGTACACTTTATTCAAGCTTATCACGTAACAAGATTGATTACCCCTTAACTTCATCAGTCACAAGAAAAACTCAAGGCCTTTGTAAAAAATACAGCTGGGACCAGAAATAGGAAAAGTTTGCGAGAGTGTCGTATTGTCGAAGCACAATGCCTTTGATGGGAGTAGAAGAGTTTAAAGATGTCACCGGAGAGGCATTCACGTCGCATGGCACAGAGGTGCGGCCGGCCTTTATACCCACCGTTGCCAACTATTCTAGGGTTGGTGCTGAACTTTACACAAATGTGAATCCTAAAATCCGTCTGCTTGTAGAAAACGAAGAAAACTTTACTAAAACATTGCGTGTAAGGTCTTCTAAATGCTTAATTGTTTGGTATTTAATTTTGGATAGGGTTTCCTATAAACGTGACACAAGAACAGATTTTGAATTTGATAATACCCAAAGAATTACTTCCTATTCTTGATGTTCATGAGTGTTTAAGTACCGTTTTTTTTTTTGGTTAAATGCATCGTATAATAACAATACACCTTGTATTGTTATTGTTGCATGTAGCTTACGTAATTATAACCGATGATAAAACATTGACAATATTATTTTACGAGCGGTGGAAAATTGTGAGGCTGTGACAACCTTGCTTGGTCCGCCCGACTTGATAAACTTCTGCAATCCGACTGCGGTTGCGAAGACAAATTGGATTGAAACATTTCCACTAGTTTTTTCTAATCTTTGAAGTTCACAGTGTAATTATGATTGGCCAAGTTTTTTCTATATGTGCACATTATACTTATTGCACACTAGGGATGAAACATGCAACTGTTGGTATTTGTGAACACGCAAATGTAAACTTAAGACCAGTTAAGTTTTTATATTTATTTAAAGAAAATTATTTTTTAGTGTCAATTAAGTTTTGCTCTGATACTCGCTATATTGATAGCGTGTCAAACTATAAAATGGATAATTGACAGCAAAAAAAAAACACACTTAAAAAGTGAAATATGTGCTAATGATATTACATTAGGACGTAACACAATAGCTAGTCAGGCAAATCTAGTCACAAAACAATACAATATATGACGAAATATCGCATATCAATAACTATAACGTTTTATCGTTTTGTAAATCTAAATTGGCGTCACAGCGAGGTCACTATTTATGAATTTTGGTGCTATTATCTAGCTTTTAAGGTTTAGATTTAACTGTTACCTGTGTTGGGTTGATGTTTTATATTCTGTTGGTATTCGAAAGTGCTACGGTGATATCGTCAGTTTCTTTAGCGAATGGCAGTGTAGTGTCAAAATTTGTTATTCTGGAAGTGGCCGCAAGACGGCTTTAGAATAATAAACACCTTTATGACTTCAATCTCAGATTTGAACGGACTTAGGATATTTGGAACTGAACGATTTTAAAGAATACATTTGTGACATTTTAAAGTTAATTTTGGTTGGTAAATTACTTTTGTTTTTAGATCGGCTTTCAAGTAATGATCATTGAGGTTGAATTTGTTAAAAATGTATGAACTATATTATCACGAATCGTTCATTCGTTTACTTGACTTAACATTTGAAAAGACATTAGATAATAAATATTTAGATCGAGTAAAATTTATTATAAACGAAGTACCTATGTTCAGAACTACAGTCGCTCAATAAGAAATTGTCAATTACCTACGTCCTTTTAGAAAAGTACATGTTTGTTGGAAAATAAGATATTTCTTTGGAAAAACACGTATCTAAGCTGACGGTCACGTAATCCACACGAATGGTTATTGACTGCTATACGTGAGAATATTTGTTTAATAATGCTACCTCACTTACTTATTTGCAAGTGATTCAAACACGGGGCGCCAGTGCGTGTACATGGTCGTTTAATATTTCCTAAATACGAAATCAGCAGCATGGAACATTACGTGTCTCAGCATAATAGATTTATTTTCATATCGGTCACACACCGTTATAAAGTACTTTATAGTTCTTATATATATGCTGACCCAAATTCTTGCTAGCTCAACTATGCATTTTGATAAGTAGCGACTGTGATTGAGTTCCGATTAAATAACACTAAAGTATCTCTCAGTTACGTGAGCACTTGGAATGAATGCAGGGATTTTGCTCGTTTACAGCTCCCATTTTTTTATTTTTCTTACGTCCCGGGTGCATTGCAGCTGCAGTGCTTGCGGTCATGGCTAGACTGTTCGAAGGTTTTATTTGAATGAAACCGACTCAGTAATTAGTCACTGCAATAAGATTCAAGATTTAGTACTCTACTCAAATGAGTTTCTATTTCGCATTCTTCTTTTGTATGTCTTTGTAGCAGACTAGCAGTAGAAACTAATAACGTACTGCTGGTTTATTTGGAACGGTTGTTTATCGACTCGCCAAGTACCTAAGTAGGCGGACAAATTGGATTTCACGATACACATTCAGTAACAACCATTGAAACCTGTTCACGGTGTACAGTTTTTTGTATTTTTATATTTAGGGAAATATTCACGGCCAACGAATTCTCAGTAAGCGGGACTTTACGGTCAGCTTCTTTTCTCATATCTTTTGTAAAAAACAAAAATCCGTCAAACATTGCAAAGTGAATTTGAAGAGAAAAGAAATGTAATATCTTGCGAAGAGGATAAAAGAATTCCTAAGGAAAAATATTCATTGCTCTGACGCCGTAAAAGGGCGGACTGTGGAAAACACATTTATACGTACGTATATCAGGAGAAACGGGTAACATATCATTGATATCTTCACCACGACGCTATTAAATCGACAACTAATATCATAAAACAGTAATATAGTTCTACGAGAGTTGCCAAAAGCTTCCAATGACAATACATTATAGTTAATATCAGCTCAGACACTGTAAATCCTGGTTGATTGAAGTACGGACATGCTTCAGAATAACTTTGGGCAATATTACCTTGAAATCGTGCTTTGATACCTACCGTGTTTCATGACACAATCACAACTCGTTTGCTCGTATAATAAGTTGTTCCACACATTGTGTAAAGCCTTTGTGCTCTCATTGGAGGCGTCGAAAGCGCTTACGAACGTAATTTTATTCATGAGCCGAATTGTCTTTCAGATAAAAATCTTCTTCTAAATGCATACTCTTTTGTACTTAGTCTGAGTAAGTCTATGAAACAATGTTTGTTATTACAGTTGTCAATAATAATTGCTAAGTTGCCGTCGTTATTTGTTTAGAAAACTTGAGACATAAAAATTCCTTAGCTAGGCGAACCGCGTTCATTTATCTATTTAAGTTTTATCACGTATTGAACGGATGCCAACACACGCTTTGTCACATGCTTTGTACCTTCTAAAACGAATTTTAGCCTTAGTTGCTGTAGTCGGGTCTATTATATCGACATCAGCCAACCTACGGCGAGCGGAGATTGCGCCAATTGCAGTCTCGTTCACAAATTATTAGGAGCAAGCTTTATTCCAATTCCTGTAAGACCGGTTTTCATTAGCAACGTTCGGAATTACCAATGGAGGTCGAATGCTTTAGCGAAACGTTTAATAAACCGATATATTTATGTAAAGGTTTAATTTTTATATCCGTCACAGTTACTCCGAAAAAATCTGAATCATTAATTCGCATTTTTATTAGTCACATGGATTGGTCCAAATTCTTTTAAGACTTGACCAATAAAATTAAATCTGAGTTGTAAGATGAGTAGGTAGATATGTATATGTATGTACATATCTATAGCTAGTATTTATATAATGAAACCACTTTATATTCTAAAGTTCAAGATTGTATGACACAACACAATAAGAATAATGTAGGATTGAAAGGTCATGTCTGCGTGCGATTTTATTTTGACAAGCTTTGAGAAAATTTTACGTTTCGCAGTAGTAGTTTATGGCTTATTTTATCGGTTCTTTCCGAAACGATGCTTTTAATATTACGGCTTTCTCTTTCTCCTTCAGGATGCTAAGTACTGACATACTTTATACGAGTACCCTTAGAATATGCTTTTAGACAGATTTTCGAAACAGATTTTGCTGATGGCGTCATAGTAGCATAATGGTTGTTGTTGCGGATATTTTGAAATCATAAACATATCCTGTGTTCTGCAGCTTAAGTGAAAAGCCGTATTAGATTCTTAATCAACCTTTCAACATTCTTATTAGGGATAATATAACTATTCTATGCAGGTATTTATCTTAAGGTTCGTCAACGTACTGGCATTATGTTCGCATTCCTACGAGGCGAGCGACAGTAGGCCTTGCGTCCACACAAGGTCATTTGTGAAGGGAGACCTGAAATAGGGTCGACGCTCTATTTAGAATTACAACTTGCGATAACTTCCTAATGTTTACGACTGTTTTTCTTGTTCTTGCTTATATCCTTTTTTGGCAGCCAGTGCTGATTAATCTGACAGTGTTCAAAAATATTGTATTTGTCGATTTCGATGGTTATATTACCTTACTTTCATACTTCTATCCATGTATCTGTATAATGGTGTAGATTTTATTATATGTGCATCGTTCATTTGAAAGTATTATTCTAATTCACAGTTTAACAATTATAACGTTAAAATATGCAGACATTCGTGTCAACCCTGACTAAAACCTACGTGTCTGTGAGCGTATTCTAGAACCAATATTAACGCCTTCTCAGCTATTTGAACCAACTTCCTTGTATTTGTCTGCAGCTGCTTCAAAACTGGTTTTCGACAACAAGAATAAAAGATGCTGCTAGCAAGAAAAAAAAACAAGTGAAACCCAATTATACTTTTTTGCTCGACCTGGGTATCGATCGTCCCTCGAGGTTACAATGAGTCAAGGAGACCGCTACAATGTAATATCGAAATTAATTAGGTACAGTTGATGCAGGAACCATTCAAATGTATCAGTAGTGCTATCTGTAAACCATATCGGAACGGCGGTCAGGTTATCGCAGACGCCCACATGCATCAACGTATACAAATATATAATACTTTTTGTGATATTACTGGTTCAATCAACGAGGCTAGGAAATTGAACATGACACTACATGACTCAAATCTTGATTGTTATTAAAAAAGGCGATATGGCTGCAACTATCTATTTAATAAACTCTAGGATCGAAATGAATTAATAAACAATTTGGAAAACAAAGTCATCTATGTAAGCGCGATTCGCCAGAATATACTTAATAACTTCTAAGCTCCAGAGACATCTAATACTCACGATCGTTCTCTATTTGCAGTACAATAAGCTCCACCAATCCCATACAAGTAAGTGTAAACTGCTCCTATGTCAGTCTGAATTGCCTATAAATAAAGATGACATTGGATATCGTAGAATTCGGAACG